TTCTTTCTTTTTAATTATAATCCCAGAACCAAACTGAGTGTGTTCGTTCCGTGAAAAAAAGATTGAATTCAGTGACTTAAAAGCTGACACCTTCAGTCAGTCCTATTTGTAGACTGAACAAATTAATTGATGCACAAATTGTGCCCTCCAACAGATATACTGATCTTTTCAGATTCAGCTTACGCCTGTTAAGTGCAGTAGCTGAAACAAGAAGAAAGCGTCGCGATTGAAGGATCCATTATGATGTGCTAATGTGCAATTAGATTTTAAATGGCCTCGGTTCGTTCTATTTCTCAGCTCGGTGCGGTTTGAAAACCTTTCGCTTGTTACATACTTCCTTTCCCTCATCCCGATAGCAAATCGGCAGAATGTGCGTGATTTACATCTCACCAAATTACGTTCAATGTATTCCAGGGAGCTGTGCTGTATATTACTTCTGTGATCACTTTACTTTCTCCATAGTTTGTTGCAGCATCATCCCCTCAGCAATCCTAGTGGTGTTGACACCTGCCCAGCTGGTAGGTTTCGGTGGCTGGGTTGATGTTTAACCCTGCTGGGCCTTCTGTGAGCCCGGGCGAGTGCGGCCAAGGGTCTCCTCTCTTTCATTCTCTCCCCGGGTAATGAGCTGTAATGGATAGGGCCTTGGGCGTGACAGGAATACAGAGGGCCCCATCAAAGCGGCTCCCTGCGCATCCCTTTTAAAGGACTGCTCAGTACGCATGCAAACACTCATTTACTCATTCATGGCTCTCTTTAATCTACCCCGGTTACACATGCTTATCAGTGATTTGTCATGCACTCATTGTTATGAATATATTTTTTTGCCTTTTTGAAGCATCATTGACAGTGTTTACATTTAAGGAATACATGTTTTTACTTTAATATAACTTACGGAATAGAGGAAGAGTGTAAGGTAAAAGAGTAAAGAGTCACACACCAGTGTTTTTCACCAGCTCGATAATGTATTTGGGTGTCCCTGTATGGGGGGGTCATATGCTGACGGGGCGCTCTGTCCTATCCAAACCTCGAGAGTTTTCTCTAGAGCAGGATTGAATACAGGAGCTATAACATCCGATGAGGGAAGTCATTTCTCTAGTCTGTTTGTTTGGTGTGTCAGACTCCTCAACCTCCACTTTTCAACGGAAATAATCTATGTACAAAATAACAAAAATGTAAAAACATAATAATAATATTGAGTGTTAACGCACACACACACACACATGCATGCGTAAAAGAGGTCGGACGCTTCACGAAGATATTACAGCGGCGGCCTATAGGAGACGTATACTTTCACTTGTACTCTGGTCTGAGTGTTGACAACCACGTAGTGTGATGACATGCGCATGCGGTAACACGTGATACGAGGAGCCCGAGAAAGGCAAAATACGCGCTGCATCCTAATGCCCTGAATATTTTTAAGCTGCCAGTGACCATCTGCCTATCCAGTATGCTTCGATCATTTGCAGAAAGCAACATCTTTTCAAGTTTCTGCAGACTGATCAGCATCGCTCTCACTTCTGTTGCTGTTTGTGATACAAGCCAGCAGGGATCTGTCGAGCTGGCCTTCCGTCCAAATGTTGATTGGTCCTTCTGACTTTGCATGGACTGATTCACATTACAGCTGGCTCGCAACGCCAGCAACTAAACTGTGTCCAAAATGACTCCCTCGTTCACTCATTCACTGCTCCCTCAATCAGTAGTTCATTCCACAGTGAGCTGTAAATGTAAAAGTTTGAACATGAATAAGTGTCATCATTGCCAGGTCGAGTGTTGCCCAATCTTTAACCTCTTCTCCGCGCATTGATGCCAACATCGCGGCTCTATATAGTAGATAAACATTTAATAATGTGTTTTCTGTAATGTATCATTCTTTTTGATGTATAGCCCGTATGTATGCTCTGTTAATAAAATAGTATTTCTGGCAAATATTTATCTGGTATAGCTCGAACTGAATCGAGCTGAAGAAGAGAAAAGAGAGACTGGCAGATGTGGCGTAACAGCAGCCCAGCGCCGCTGCTGCGGTCTGACCTAGTTAGAAACAAACATTTAAGATCCAAGGTGCCGAGCTGCCTGTTTACCTCTCCTCTCCGTCTCCTCCGTTTTACCCAAGGATGGGCTGCCACTAACGCCAAAGGAACATTACATTCCACAGGATGCTCTCCTGTCGTTCCCATTTACACCAACAAAACAACCTTTGCGATAAAGCATTTTTTTTGCAACATGCTGGAATTCGTCAGAATCTATTTGACTGATTGCTGGAGTCTGGACTGCCACTGTTGCACTCTGTACTGATGGCTGTCATTGCACTGTATTGCATGCTCACCACACAGAGAATTGTAAATATGGGGACAAGCACTGAAGTAAAGGAGAGATGAGACGGAGCTGGACGGACCTCAGTATCCCTTTTTAAAAAAAGCGCTATGAGTCTATTCTTTGAGTGCTGTCATTGTTAGCTGGATTATGTCTGGGTCAGACGTTCAGCTTTTCATTGTGCATTTACAAACCCTCTCGAATAGCTCGCTGCACTCAGGCTGCACTCGTGCCCCTTCTATCACAAAACACAGCGTGCTTAACGCATGATACAGTCACAGAGTTCTGAGCACGTCGTTGTTTGTGTATTTCATGCACTTTACAGTACTGCAAGGCTTGTGCAAAGAATGCTTTCATATTAATAATTTCACTTGTGCAGATGTAGAGTAGTGTGTCGTTAGCCTGGCTTTAATTTAGTCATTTTACCTTCAAAGATGTTGGGAAAATACAAATTTTTTTTGGGCTGCATTTCATGCTGATACAAGCTGGTAAATGCATTATTAGCAACAGCTATTTTGAGCTAGCCCGTCTGTGTTTTGCATGACAGGTTTGCATCTATAATATAATAATTATCTGTTCAGGTAAGGAGTAAACTAACCAAAGAAAAACCTTTATAAATTGCAATACAGTTTGCAATCAAAATGTACCGTGTTGTTTTATCACCCCCCAGTCATCGCAGAGCAATTGCACTGAATTGCACTGGACAGTGCTCTCACAGTAAGAATAGATAATTAATCTTTAATTCACAACATGTCATGCTGAGATTGAAGTAATGTCAGGTTACAGGTTTTAATGAACCTGTAATCATGGTTTATATACTGTATGATGCTGTATTCTTCAAATTCTTACTGTATACATATATTCAGTGTTTTAGACAGTAGTTCCTTATACAACAGTTCGTACGATATCTTACAAAAAGTAACTTTCCTCATTTTCCGTGCGTTTTACTTGGAAAGTCCAGCAACACGTGTCAATTTGTATCGTTATAGCATACAATCCTTCAACAATACGCTTCCTTCTTCAAAGGAAACAACATAGTCAGGTTTAAACTACACAATTACTCGCGTAGGTTTAGGAAAAGATGTTGATTTGGATTAAAATAGCCTGTTTTAGGCTCATAAAATGGGAAGATAAACCTCACAGATTCTGACTTGAATAGAGTGAAGCCACTCGAAATGGTTTTAGGCGAAACTATTTGGTCAGCTTCAGGAGGAAACAGGTGGCCAGCAGAAAGCTACTGAAGTACGTACCATGATTTGCTCATTATAAACCTAACAATGTGTGTGTGACCTTTTGTTAAGCACGGGAGTGAACTCAGAGCTCACCCTCCTCCACATCCCATTGTGTGATCCTTTTGGTTTACACGCGCACAAGTGTGTGTGTGTGTGTGTGTGTGTGTGTTTGTGTCATGTGTCCGGGAGAGTAAGGGCTAAGGGTGATGTCATGTTGGATGACATCACTGCAGACGTGCAGGGAGTGCAGATTAGTGGCCGTGGCTCTTCTGAAACAGCTCTCCACAGCTGCCCTGCCCTTATCGGTGCGTCCCGCCCCGGCCCTTCATCCCCTCGTGCCAGCTCCATCAGGGTGTAAGCTCTAGAAATAGCCTCGAACTATCCCATATCTGCTCTGCCAGTCTACCAATCATGGCTCAAATTGAGCGTGGCAAAACCCTCCCACACACATTCCGGTCTCACCACCACCGACCCTTTGGCTGGCCCCATCAGCCAAGTCACTTTGCCAAAGCTGAGCTCCAGCCTCATATGTACACTGTTTTTTTGTTTTGTTTGGGTTTTATTTTCTTTCTGAGCCCCCCAGCATGAGTCCTTGTGTCCCAGCTGAACCGAGTCCATGCTCAGAGCACATGCAACCCCCTCGGTCCCAAGCGGAGGCGGTGACGGCGGCAGCAGCAGCAGCAGTAGTGGCTGACAGGGAAAGCAGCACACCTCGCACAACAGTTGACAGGACAAAGAGCACACGCACTCCCACTGGAGCAACACAAGAAGGGGGGGGGGGCAGGGCCAAGCTAGTCTACGCCACACACCCAAACATGTAATCCCCCCCCCACACACACACACACACCCTCGCACAACATATGCAGGCTCCTCCCTGCGCATGGGAGGTGCAGTCAATCACTGATAGTGAAAGGGAGTGGGATAAGCTGGAGTTTGTGTGAGGGGGGGGAGAGACAGCAGAGGAGAAAAGGGAAACAATCTTCATCATTCCCAAATCAAGAGTCGAGTGTCGGGGAACCCTTAAATTCATTCATGCCGAATGAAAGAAAACGGAGAGGAGAGAGTGTGTCCCATTCCAGAGACAACACAGGAAGTAGGGCACGCTCTGCACTGGGTGACCAAGAGAGGGTGGGAGAACGAAAGGAGGAAAGGGAGCAGCAAGAGAGGGAGAGCATTGTAGCGCTTACTCTCCACCCCTTGTCTTAAAGCAGCAGCAGGAGGAGAGAGAAGGAGGAAGAGAACCACAAGTAAGGAAGCAAAGAGGCGAAGCAGCGGTCTGCATCGGCAGCAGGGGGGGAAAAAAAAAATGGAGCTTTGAAATCGCCTCTGCCCTCATCCATCCCTGCCTCTTTTTTTCTTTTTCTTTTTTTCTCCTCTCTTATTCCGGCTCAGCCTCGGTTTCTCTCTCCGCTTGCCTTTGATTGTTCTGTGGAATTCTGACAATGCCTGGTGAGTGTTACGCTGCTTTTCACATGTCACTCGCCGTCCTTTGTGTGTTGGTTTTGCTTGGGTTCAGGCGGCGGGACGTCTTATATATTTTTCTGTTCTTATGTGCGGCGGCGAATAGCAATGTGGACGAGAGGATGCTTCATTGAGACTGTTTACGCTCCTCTGCCTCTGTGTGCTGTCCAGCTGTGCCGTCCTCCTCCTTTGCTTCTCTCAATCAGTGACGACGCAAAGGAGACTGCTCTCCTGAACGCACACACACACACACACACACACACACACTCTACTACACTCTGCGTACATCCAGGTTACTCAGTCATTATTATATAATTGCTTTTAACTCCCAAAGGGCTTTCATTCAGAGCGGTGCATTTATTACACACATAAATGTGTATATATATGTATATATAACATCGGGTTTAGACATATAACATCAGAGATGATAATACAGAGATGGGGTTTTGATTCCGAGTGGTGACCATAACCTACATGTAGCAACATCACACAAAGCTGGCCTGTGTGACAGAGGGCAGCCAGCTAACACAAATCAGATGACTGGGCCAAGCTTTGAGGTCAGCCGGCTGATTTTCGGCTGTCATTCTCAGTGGAAGTCCGTATGTTGGAGGCAATTATCAGCGGCTAAAGAGAAAGAGAGCCGTGTGTCTTGAGGATAGAGAGTTTGGGAGAGCAACAGCTCATTCCATCGTTGATACATTGTAATGTCTCCGGGATAATCTTGCCGGTTAGTCATCATTTCGTCTGTATTTTCGTTTATATTTCAGATTCAAAGTGATCTTACGGGATGCTATTAAGTCAGTCAGTACACATTATCATGTGAGTTATTTTCATCTTTACGCATGGATTATTCAGATGTATTTCCTGACGTTGATTCGATTATCCCACAAACATCCGCGGCCCAGTTAACGCACCGTGCCCAGTTTCACACTTGAATCTCACTATACATGCTACTTACATGCATGAAATTCGTCAGCAACCGCACATCGAGTATAATGAAGTTATTCCAGTTCGTTGAGTTATTCCGTTTTAATGTGTCTCATTAAGAGGACGGATGAAACACTGAGGCATTCAGCAAACTGCTCGGTGCAGTCGTACCTCCCTGCCACATAATGGAGGCAGAGTTTAGTTAAACAGTTTCTGCCGGAGAACGGCATTCCCACTAACGTGTATTTTCCTCGGTGATGGCTTCACGGGAGAAAGCCATCTTTGGTTTAGCAGACACATCAATGACAGTCTGATGGCTTTGTGCAGCTTGTTCACTGCAGTGTGCAGAACTGGTTCAGTGTGAGAGCTCAGCCGGTGGTCTTCCTGATTGTAGCGTGCTGTCGAGCCCTCAAGAACAAAAACCGAGCTTGACTTCTACATATTACGCTCCAAGCATTTGTGGCAGCCTGTATTTATATGCAGTAACAGTGTGATTCCTGCCCCCCCCCTCCCAGCCTGGGGTTCTGTATATGTTTGCATGTACAAACAAATGTTTTTGCACACATTAGTACATGTGCACATGCTGTATGCAGATATATGCATATGTTCCCGAGCGCGTGTTTTAGTATGTTCCAATCCCAGAAGCCTGAACGAAAGGATGGCAGAGCGAGAAATAGAGCCGTTAGTCATTTTCACAGCCTTAAACATGGACAAGATGGGGAGATGGGTAGAGCCAATGTGAGATGGAGAGATGACAAACATTGTGAGAAAGGGAAAAGCACATAAGATGACTGAAACGAAAAGGGACCGACAGTCTGCTCTTGTCCATTTTCCAATATTTAGTGTACTAGTTTATTCTGGGGGACTAAACCTCTTATGCAGAATTTATTCCCTTTTCCAGGACTTTGCCCTTAAATCCTGCTGTTGGACTGTTCTTATGTAATGCACTGGACAAAATTGAATTCATGAAATTCAACACTGATGTATAATGACATGAAATATAGTGTTATAATATTCATAATATATCCGTGTTGCAGGGAAGGGCCAGAATCAATGCAGAGCTTTGTACAGTATATTTCTGCTACTTCCTCCCCGTCTCTCCATTGTTCCGTCTCTGTGTAATTACTCTGTCATAGATCATCTCCGTGAGGTCCATTGATTTACTGAGAGCTGGTGAAGTGGAGCAGAGCATTTGATCAGACACACGTACGGGGGAGGGAGGGAGCAGCGGGTCAGTGCCGCACCCATGGGCCACTCCACTGTGGGACAATAGGTCTGAACCGTTGGCGGGTTCACACGGGGGGGGGACGGAGAAACAGCCACAGTCGGAACACTCGATCAGCAACACTGACTCACGACCACACAAATACAAACATCCAAGCAAGCAGGGGTTCAGGACCATTGCTTGTTTGTTGTCTATAAATAGTTATCTATTTTGAGGCAATTTGACATTTTCAAATGTATTGTTGCCGTCCTGAATACCAGGTATCTCCAAATTTGGTGATTTTTTTAGCACACTTGATTTGAGCGTCTGCACTTCTTTTCGTCAAAGTGATCGATCTGAAAAGAAGTTGCAGCATGAAAGGAAGAGAGACGGACGGGCCTTGATATCCAAGGCCTTGCATTCAGTGAGTTTTAATTCTTTGAAAGTTGTGGTGCCCGTCGACAAAATTGAAGGTTAGAATATCGACTTCAATCCAGCTCGCCGTTGTGAATGAAAGACGGTCGTAAGTAGGCTGCGTCAAAGACATTCAGCAACGTTGCTCTGAATCTTTTCAACTCTGTCTGGTAGCGGATGAAAGACGAGCATATGCTCATGATAGGGCAGCGTTGCATGTTGTCAATAATTGAATCACTCACTCGCTCTTTCCTGCCCTGAAGGCCGTAGTGCAGAGTCTATAGGAGCAACAAGAGAGGAGAGCTTTCAAGCATCAGTCCTAAAGGTCTCTTTCTGTCCTTCTGCTCTCATACAGTACTCTTTTATCTCTGTCTATATATATATTTATATTTCTTTTACACAAACATGCAGAAGAGCTGACGCCACTGCCCCGTCTCTCTGTTTTATCTGCGTGCCTGTCTCTCTACAGTAAGCTGCTTTACGAAAATGAAATGGAGGGCCGGCTATAGAGGGATGGAGGGATGGAGTGATGGAGGGAAAGATCTCTAATGCTTCTCTTTGCGTATCATTTCCTCTCACTTCACTTCCTGTGCCTACACTTCTAGACAGAGCGACGCTGTCTTTAGATTCAGACAACCAGACATCTTAAAGGGATAGACGTTTTACAAAACCGGTATATGTCATCATATTGCCCATACACTTCATGGGAGGGATCACCTTTCATATTTAACAGCAGAAGTATCTAATTAAACTATCACGTACAGCCCACATTCACTGCAGTAACAGAAATTATTCTCGATCTTGCCGTCCTCCTGATTGCAGTAATATCCATATCCTCTCTACTTGAGTCACTGGAACGTTGATGCGAGTTCAATTTGCTCTTCTCTCCGTCCCGTCAGTCTCTTCATCTTCCTCTCCCTCTGCCCTCTGTTCTTGCCGGCCCTCTATCAACACCTACTTGTCCAACGTGTGTCACCCTCTCTCCATTTCGCCACCTACCACTCTGCGATGCAGACTTGTAGAAGCCTTCCGGGAACGGCCCAAATCCACCGACTATTTCCCTCCGCGTCCCTCCCTCTCTTCCTCCCGGGGCCTCGGTGCAGGCAGGTGGTGCTCCTCTAAACGGGTGAGCGGATAGGCAGGGGAATAACTTTTCAGAGGCGAGGCCTTCCAGGGACCGTCTCTCCCACCTTCTCTCATGACCCACGCTGTCTGTCTGCTGTACACTTGGCTCATGATCTTGCGCATACCCCGCCCACACACACACACCTTGGCTCGCATCTGACATGGATTTTTCTCACAAATTCACATCGTTCTACCAATACACTTTCTGTTTGAGTGTGTGTGCGCATGCACGGAAACCGTATCTGCACAAACTAATGCTCATATGCACATGCGAGATGTAAAAGTCGTGCTGCTACGTGATTCGGTACAGAAGGCTATTGTTCGTTATTCACAGGAAACGAAAACATTGAGATAGTTTTCTGTATTCCTCTCCTGCCACAGTGATTACAAATAAACTCCCATAGAAAGAATAGCCTTGCGTGCACCTACATTATATTTTGGAGCAGTTGCACTCCAAACAAGCCTATGAGGTATGATATTATCATGACCCAGACCAGAGGAATGAGGAAATCCCCCCTGAGTGTTTAGTCTCCAGGCCCTGGCTTTGTAGTTAACCTTTACCCAGCCATTCTCCAGAACAGCAAGGCACGCAGGTCTGTTTACTTGTGATAAGAGCAAGCAACTCTAATCCACTGCATCAGTGGGGGGAACAAGTACATTAAACCTCCTCCAGTTTCACCTCCCCAAATGATACTAAAATTGTTTTGGAGCTGGAGAAAACCCTCCGTCTATAATGGGGTGCAAAGACCTCTCCACTGTATAGCACACAATGAAATCCATTGTCCACTGGCTCCTGTAGAGTTTCACTTGAGTCTTTATACACATTGTGACGTCTATGCAATTTCTGGTGAATGATTGAGCTGAAATATTCCCCTGTCGTTCAGAAAGCATTTTAATAGGAAGTACTGAAGCTGCTCCGTGCCCAGCTGGACTTGTTTCCTTGTAATAATTTCACAGATTTCTTTTTTTTTTTTCGTGCTCAAACATCAGTTTGGAAGCGTTTGTTGACAGCATGTCTTAGCTGTGACATCAGTCTTTTCTCACTGTTTCGCCAGCTATGCAAAAACAGCCGTACAATACATCTGGCAGTGCGCTCCCTCCTTAAACCATGGCCGGCCACATTTTCTCCCTCTCTCTCTCTTGCTCCCTCTTTTCCATTTTTTTGTGCCCTTCTCCGCTGGTTTTTCTTGGAGTCCATCTCTCCGGCCAAGGACCCAGCATTTTCCCACAGAGTGCGGTGCTGAAGGCTGAGCCTTTGTTTCCTGCTCTACGGGGACACATGGTGGGAGGAGGAGGCAGGCTGACTTCCTGGCTGCCAACTCGGGGTCTATGTCAGTGTGAGAAAAAGCAGGGGAGACAGATCTGATGATGACAGAAGAGCTGCGCATCCTAGGGACTGACTTCAGCTAAAAAAAATATATAGAATTTGCTATATTTCTCAGACAGTTGCACCTAAATAACTTCATATCAGGCTGTCAGCTGTTTCCTTCCTTCACCCCTTTTTTGGCCTAATTCTTTGTTGTCCTACTAGGAACGGAGACAGTAGGAGTCAGCACTGTCCTTTACTGTACATTAGATGTGTCGTGAGCATTTGTTTTTGCAATGTTTTCCTCTGAAAATAACTTTGTGATCATTGTTGTAGAAATACGACAGCAAAACTATAAGCGTGATGTATAATCATGAAGATAAAAGTAGCGTGGTGACAAAGGAGGTTAAAAAGAAGCCCTTCCAAAAAGTACCATTAGTGCTATAAATGCACATTTGAGCACTTATTTGCTATAGGATATATTCTGTAGGATCATTTGTCGACTTTACATTGTAGTATTATTATGTAGTATTTTATTTTGAAGCTCCATATCCAGCCCCTTGACTCTTACCTTCATAAGTCCATGTCATGAGCATAGTGTTTATGCATAACGTCCTCACTGTGTAACGTTCCTCTGGACTATGGGCAGGCTTGTCCTTAAAAAACGGCGCTGTCTTTTTAAATGGGATGTGGAGAGGGGTGTGTTAGTAGCAACAGACATCCTTTGGGAGCGGTGTGGTTTAGCTCAGAGGGCAGAGGCTCCAGCCACGTTCCCAGAGACTCAAAAATAGTCTGGAAAAAACACTGAGACCAGCCGCCGGTGAGGAATGCAACCCGAAGTGGAGTTGTGCGTTTTGGGGAATCCAGCTTGGAGAGGTGCTGCTGGACCATGTTTCACATATTCAGTAGATCGTAAGTGTCTTTTTCTTTAAAATTCCTCATTCACCGTGGATGGTCACAGCTGCACGCTGTGGTTTTTGGAAACCTCTGTCTCTGCATCCACCCACGGTTCCCTCAGAGCTGTTCATTGTGGCTTCATCTAACTATTTTTCTTTGCCACACAAATGGCGTACAGTACTTTCTGTATGAATTAGGATTGTAAAGAAAGGTCAGGATAGCTGATTAAAAAGCAGAAAGGACAAAGTACATCTGAATAGTTGGAGAGGAACGGCACAGAGGGAAAAACAAGGACACGTTTAGACTTGAACATGAAAACTATTCAGTGCCAGAGGTGAATCTACGGCTTAGTGCGCAACTATGATCCCGGTATTGACAGTACGCTTCTCAATTTAGAACCAATTATGTGCTGAAGATATTTCACCTGGCTAAATCTGGTGATAATAAAAATGGAACGACTAAACGTGTATTCTATATTAAGAAGAGTAGTGTTTGCAGAGATCAGCTTTGATGTTGTTTTTCCATGTTTTGTGTGGGAAGAAAGTCTCTGCCCTCTTTCTCTGCGTGAACTTAAGTGTTTGCCTCGTTCTTTGTCCAATGCCACAGGGGCGTCTGAATATTCAGGGCCAGAAGTGAAAAGCACACTTCCTCATCTCTTCTACTGCTTTGCCCATGTTGTTATCAGTTCCCCAAGCACTTAACAGTTATGCAAGATTTCAAGAGGAAAAAAAGCTTTCTTGCTTGTAACTAATTTATATTTTCTTCAGTTTGTGCTAAAAAGTAGAATTACAATCCTTTTCGTCTGTCCTATATACACATGATCACAGATGCACACACTCTCCGTGACCCTGGCGGGCCTTGAGTAATCTCACAGCTGAGTCATACCCGCTGTCTTGCCTCTAAACCTCTATTATTGTCGCTGTGAAGCTTTGGGATTAAGGCATACCTATATTGCTGCGATTAAATGACAAATCAATGATGGAATAAAAAAATAGGAAATGTTAGACTCTTGAGTGCAAAACATGTATTTGTCTGTCTATGTGTGTGTGTGTGTGTGTGCGTGCTATGGGAGGGGATCATTAATATGACATCTAGAGTATAACAGCGTCTCTGATTCAGGAAATCATGGTTTCTCTTCTCTAGTCAAGTCATATTCTCTTGTCCAAGGACAGCCTGACACCTCGCTGCCCACAGGGTTTAACATTAAGGCTCGCTGGCCCGAAGCCAGACGATAAGTCCGTTAATTGGGCAGACAGCGGCTCAATTAGGCTGGCGTTTTCACTGTCTTATGATGATAACTTTATTATCTCTGCCTTCGTCTTCTACCACTGCCCTGATCTCCTCTCTGCTGTGGTATTTTAGTGCAGAATTAATGAGTGTGCTGAGCGGAAATGGTGGTCAGAGGTAATTTGAATTACAAAGCGAAAAGTATGAAAGATGTTGTGTTTTTACAGAGATGTACTGTAGTGCTGCTACACGGTTATAACAGTCAGGCGTGACTACAACAACGTTTGTTCACAGTCAAGTATTCCTATTTTCAAATCTTGTGCATCTTTTCATTTTGTTCCTGTGCAGTCTGAAGTGCAGTTTGTGGCACACCTTTTAATGATAAATAATACAGAATATATCTAGTCATAAGCAAAAATCAATAGTGTAATATATGATATTGCTTGTAGTTAATTTCGCTTTGCTTGGTTTTGGAAATAATCAATTCCAAGCCCATGACTTCACCAGACCTCATATTATTGATCGTGTAAGTTAAACGAAAGCATTTATGGTGCTGTTGCTTTGTACTCTGTCCAAACTCTGGCGCAGTTGCTCCATGTTCCTGTTAGTCTGGTGAAAATATACTACACGTATATAGAGCGCTGACAGACTGGTCCAAATGAGGAAAAAAGTGAATTGTAGTGAATTATGTGAGACGGAGTAAAAGAACAATAATGGATCAGCAAAAATCAACAAAAGTAGAATCCGATAAATTAATAATATATTTTGTCCCACAAGTACCTCACAGTATATGACATTTCAGTGCAACCGATTATGAATCCGTCATGTGAGGCATTTCTGTACGACAGTTAAGAAAGGCAAAGGCATTTTAAAGAAGACATTGTTGCCACGATCATATTTCACTCCCCTGTTTCAGTTGCGGCAGCGTTTTCTGTGTGGGCGAGTGTTGGTACTGCTTGGGGGGGGATACCACTCGTGTGTGAATGTGTGTGGGCGACTAGTCACTCTAGGCCAGGGACATGAAGTCATGAGACGGAGTATTCCACCAGGCCGCTTGACTGAAGAACAAATGTGTGTGTATTCCAGTACAGTCATATTCAATCATGATGACACCCCCCCCCCCCCCCCCCCCTTTGTGTCCCATAAAGGGCATTGATTAAATCAATATATCAATAATACTGCATTGGCGAGGTCCCAGATGGCCGTCCGTCATTAGCATGACGGTTGACCTTTGCCGTCTGACCATAGTTGCTACTTAAGGAGTTACTCATTAGTGCGACCTTTGACCTCATTATACATTCTCTTTACACTGCGATGTTCTGGCTATCCTATTTGGATCGACTCACCCCCCCGATGTGACAGTAAGTAGAGCTGTGGACAAATACCCACTCACCCACACACATTGCTCTCGGTGAAACAAAGTCCATTGTTCTGGAGAAGCAATATCCTCTAATGACCCCTTTTTCACTTTTGGCTCTTTCAACTCATCTGGGATAAGGGAAATAAATATGAATAAGAAGGATATGCTACATGTATCCAATCCAACACAGCCATGAAATCACCACAAATGTAAAAAAAAGTCCTCGCAGACGATCACAGGTAATTGGCATGCTGTGTGCTGCAGCTGCTACCGTGATCTCCCCTGTCCAGTGGTTGTATTCGCGGCCAGCTGTTCCGCTCTCTTTTCACTCGGCACATGACTTCAGAGCCGACGCCGGTCCTGCTCCAGAGCAGCTCCTCTGCGCTCCGTGTTGGTCTCCTGCAGTGAGTGTCCTAGCAGATGTTACACTGAATTACCCTCCCAGCCTAGCGGGGACTCTCGCTGTAATCAAGCCGTTGCATCTGCGTGTGCCCGTTGCAGCCTGGCTCAGTGGCTGCGTTGGCTCTCCCAACAGTTGTTCTCCAACCACCTTATCTCAGTTAGCAGCCAAACTTCCCCATCATCTAGTGTGTCTGCCAGTGCTCTGAGTCAGGCATCCCTTCAGACTCCCAGAGGATCCGATCATTTAGGAGATGCTAATGCTAACGCCCTCCTTTCCTATGTTTGTTTAGTGAAAAGGGTGTGTTTGCATGTGTCCCATTCTTGCCTTTTAAAAGCTTCCCTCCTCCCTGTAAATGAAAGGCCCTCTTTGTCCTCCTGTACTTTTGGCCAATGTGTGCTCCCATCTATGGCACTAACTGGTTCTTGTTTCTCTTCACAAAGGTGGTCACACCATAGCTTCAGCTCCTATCCCCCCTTGTTTGGTGCAGCGATGCCTGGGGCAGTGTCTCCCTCTTTGCTCTTCCCAGAATAATCTCTCTTTTGTCTTGTGTGCATTAGACCGCTGGCACTGTAAGAGCCTAAGCCTAAAGAGCCGACGCTGTCGACCAGCACAGGTGCCGCAAAGCACTAATGCACTGGATGTGGACCAACGTGGACTAGACTGCGCCCACTCATCTACATTACCCATCTGTTTTAAATGCACTTTTTTTTTAATGTTTTCCCTTTCGCTCTCATTGTTAGCGCTTTCATGGCCGTACGACGCAGCCAATCAGGACTCAAAGAGGTCGCGCTTGGATGAGCAGAGAGGGGATTTTTTTTATTCAGAGTGTCTGAGTGTGATGCGTGGCAATTTTCCCTTTAGGGGTTATTGGAATTTAACTTAAAAGCTGTCACATTAGCGGCTGCGTCTCCAAGCTCACTTCACTCACTCGCAAACCTCAACGTCTGCCTTCATCCCCCCAGAGATCATTCTTTCTCTGTCTGACTTCGACAGTGAATGATGTTTTTTCTCTGCTGTTCTGTTGACTGGATCTTCTGGCCTCCCTGATTGGTGTTTTCGGACTGCAAGGACTGTAGCCACATGTCAGTGGTTCAGCTCTCACATTCGCCGTTCTGCACCGGCAGCATCTGACAGGATCCCTCCTCTTTCTGCCTCTCGCTGTGGGCCAGACGTTTGTTTGGTTATCTATATTCTCCCGCTACCTATCACGCTACTGTTCACTCCAGTGCAGATGACAACCGTCAGATGGCAGGTCGATGCACAAAAACACAGATTTTCACGGTGTTACCCAAAAACTCTAATGCCGTCGTATTGCCTGAATAAAAATGCGAAATAGAGACATGAATCGGCAGGAACATTCACTCGCTGATTGTGGTGACAGTGGCTCATTATTCCCATCAAGCACTGAGAAAGACTTACCACATCTGCTTGGATCAAATGAGCGATCAGACCCGTGACAGTGTTCTGCAGTGTGACAGACACGCCGTTGTTTCATCTCAGTCTGTGGTCCTTCCCTCTGACTCAGCGCCAAAGCTATAATGGACACTGTATTTTGTGATGCTTGACGCATGAATAATGGCTTATTTGTCCGGTTTCCTGTCTCTGCAGTGCACGCGGTTCATAATCGAGGTCGGCCAACCGCTCTGTGATGTGTGCGCGCGGTACGTGTTTCGTTGTTAACTGTGATTTTTTTTTTTTTTTTCTGCTTTGATGTCTGAGTTCAGGGGCCCAGGTGCTTGCAGAGCGGTTGGTGTTGCTGGCTGGCGAGAGCTTTTTTTTCATTTGAGCCCCATCTACAAACCAAGCCAGCTGTGAGGAGTTAATGAATTTTGAGACTCTACAGGGATATGAATATGATGAAAACGTATCAAATGTATTGCAACCTCATCTTGAGCACATGATTGCAAAACCACTTGCCTAACCGCTGTGCTACAGCTCTTATCAAACCTCGTCGGGTTGCCAAGCGTTGTCAGTTCTACTTCATGTGTCCGTACTCGTGTTATTTATTTATATTTGTGGTAATACACGAGAGGCAGAAACTGGTGCTAAATATTCATTTACATACTCAAACCATTCAGTGAGCACTCACACTAAAGCCACTTACAATAAGTTCATCCTTCCCACTGTCTGCCCCGAATCTTTGCACGAAACCTGTTCATTAAAAATCCATATTGTTTTTGAGAATACAGCATCACAAAACATGACATCGTGACGCTCGTGTGTATCAATACACGCCCCCTACTCGGCAGGAACGAGACAAATTTGCGAGTGCAATTAGTTGCCTGCCTGTATGTCTTTGCCCAGCTCTGCTTGTTGATCTGCATGCCTATTTGCACACAGTGCTCATGTGTTTGTTTGGTAGAGAGCATTATTAACAAGTAATTGCCGTGCCAGTCTGCCAGCGGAAGGCGTATCGATTGGTTTAAATGCTGGTCTAGCAGCACCGCAGAATGCTGTGTAAACAGTGTGCAGGGCAGTTACCACAGAAAACACTATTAGCAAGGAGACTTAACATCAGGCTGCCTAATGCTATAGCATTAACTGGAGTATTTGTTGTTTTGGTTATGTCAGAAGCTTAAGATTTGGCCATTTAAGGTCATTTTGCATGTTGGTTGTTTTAGTAACATGAGTGGAAGCACAAACAAAGAGGTTATTATGTTTCTGTGAAGATTAACACCACTTCACATGCACTCCAACTGTTGTAGCTCATGTAATTGTAGTGAAATGATGCATACGCTTGCAGGAACCCAGTAGGTGTGGACTTTTCAAAGTGCCGTTGTTTGGACTTGCAGTACATTAATCCAGCCTATCTTGAGCTATCAGTACAAATATAGTCCCTTGTGGTTTAGCCGGCTCGCCATCAAGTCAGTGTGTTAGGAGCCTAAGTGCTCTGACGCCTACATGGGCCTGAGGTTTCAGATCCCAGACAGGCTATCAGATCAACTCTCTTTACAGGATGCAGGGACGGAGCGCGCTGGGTGCAGCCCGGACTCACTCACGATCCATTACTCCGCTCTACTCCTACTCTGTTACTCCAAACTGAGTTTCCATTGAACCCCAGCAGGGCACAGTGCATGATAGGATTTGGACTGATGCAGGGACATAAATTCGTAAATACTGAACGTATACCTACATCACCAGCCAGAGAAGGTGTTCGAGTGATAAAAAAAAATCGAAATGTAACCGGTAACTTGGCAACACTAACTCATGCAAGGTCATTGGTCATGCCTTCTCATTTCGGACTAAAGGTTATGCATAAAAACGTTTGGGTGAATGCCAGAAAATCCTATTATTTCTGCTGAAATGTTTCTAAACTCGGCTGAACTGGAACAGTTGGCGTATCAGGCAAGTTGGCGTATCGGGCAAGGTACATGTGGATCAGAGGAGACAAATTCATTCATTAAAAATCATACACAAATGCCATTTAAGCATGATGTGCAGAGCCACTGATGCGCCATTAATTATGTAATCCTGTCAAGTCACATACAGCGATTCACAACCCGTAAAACAGGTTTTAACATGTTTAGCATTTTATACAGTTGTGCATCCAAACACAAGGTATTGCAGAGCAGTGTTCTTTGCAACATCTGCTGTAATTCTGACACGGTCTTACAACGCCAGATCTTTATGGCATGACCTTTTCAATTATGTATTTTACTACAGGGCTTTGTGTGGTTGAGTCTGTGTGTCTGGAAGTGTCTGGTCTATTAGAGCCTTGAGTATCTCCTGGATATAGTTTCTGAAATATTTAGGTGGCCCAGCATGACATCCAGAAGAGGAAGAGATAGATTGATTGGTGGCCAAAAGAGGGGAAGGCAGATAATCACAGTGCAATAAGAACAGAGTGCGATGGAACGATGTGTGCCAGAGGGTGGGAAAGAATCCTCCAAACATAAACTATACTCCCCCCCCCCCCACACACACACACATCAGGTAAACACTGAATGAGAGGCAGACAGGTTAAAAATGGAGGCAGAGTAATGGAGGATTATCAAGGACGTAGAAGGACGTTTGCTGAGAATAGACGACGTTGGGGGAAGGTAACCAAAAGAGAGGAGAAGCGAGGAGACGAGGAGACGACGACAGCATGCTCTGCTTTTAATACCAGCTGTTATTTGCAGAGACCGACATGAACAGTGTGCCAAACTGGGGGATGTAAAAGTTATGAGCAGATTTCACATGACAAGACAGTTTTTTTCGTTGTCATTTATACAAAGTGGCTGACAATATGCTGTAAATTACACGTTACAGTACAATTTAATACAGTGCCATACAGATGACACGCAGCGTTATTATTCATCAATTCATACTTTCACAGTCTCCCACCATTCCCAGTGACACTAATGGGCTAATATGATATGCCGAGAGAAAAAAGAAAACCATAATAGCGGAGTAAAGTATATTCCTTTTTTAGAAGATGCATTCCTCTCTCAGCCGCAATTTATCTTCAGATCATGTAGAACATTACTCCAGAGGATGTTGCTTTTGGCGAGCTGCACTGACTGCACGTTCAAGTTGATTTTCACATGAAGAACACTGGCATGCCTCCTTATATTCTAAATATAGAAAACATATATGCTACCAGTTCATTAAAATGTTTGACCGTGTGTAGCATTGCCAGATACATTTTTTTTCCTTTCAGTCAGTCTCTTTGTGAGTCATAGAAGCATCATCGTGCCAGGTTTAGGGACTGTGTCTACCTGTCTCTTAACAGCACATCCCACATAGAAAACCTCTGTTTCCCCTCCTCTCCGCTCACTTGACTCGCTCTGTGTTCTGCCCGGTACCCAGTCAGCCAATCACAAAGCAGGGCTAGGTGCAAAACACACTTCCTCTGCAGCTGTGCTTTGGAGAAGGCTCGGAGCTCCTGAAAAACTAGATTCTCACATGCAAAGCTATCCTTGAGGCGTTTGCACATGTATTTTTTTTCTCATTTATTTCAGATGATGAAATGTGTGTGTTATGATAGAGATAAAAAGGAGAGCGAGAGAGAGAGAGAGTCCAGATCATTATCCACTTCGCACTGGACAGTGGATTCGACAACAAAGCTGGCTGACTGTACAAAGGGCTGCAACAGAAGAGATGTACAGTACACACACTGGCCTACTCACATGCATGGATTAGTGTGTAAGCCGTCCATAGAGGGCACTACTAACAGAATGTTCGCTCTCATTACGCGAGCAATTGACCCTCTGTCTTCCTCGTCCTGCCAGTGTCAGGGGCTGATGTTTGTGTCGCTGCTTACAGCCCTCGCTAGCATATTTAGCTTTATTCACTGTGAGCCTGACTGGTTGGTAGAAACACAACAGCACCAAGAGCTGTAGCACTCCGAAATATTGTGAATCTTTACGAGTGCTCGTACTGTAAGCATATTATAACGCATCATAAGTATGTTTCTAATGCTTTCTTACGGTTACTTGACTTCATGACATGGTGCAGAATAACATACTTCAACATAACTGGTTATTATTGAATAAGAGCTCAACGTGAGGGCTCAATATGAAGCTCAATAATGTGGATCAAATGCGGTAATGGGCAAATATACACACCGCATGGAGACACACGTTTGCTCTTTCCCGGTGACAGCCATTCACTAACTAACTCTTATGAAAACACAGAAAGTAGGGCGACAGCAAACAGTGGAAAGCTCTTATGTTTGTCTCCTAATCCTCCCTGGCTATAAAAAATCACCAAGAATAAGGCTTCGGGGTCGTCTCTGTCAGAATATTGAACACTTTGCTAAAGTGCACTCTGAGCTCCTGTCAATGTGCAACGGAGAAGAGTTGACAGGGTTGTAAGTTGGCGTGTGGTTGTTAAACGAGGCTCCACAAAAGAGATAGCAAGCGGTTCATCACTGTGAAGCATTATCACATCACGGAAACTTTCACAGCGCGACCATTAATGATAATCAATGGCAGGAATTGCCTCCTATTTATAGCAGGTTCCAGTCTGCGATTGGTTGGCAGCGCAGCTTGACTCAAATCTTTCAGGCGTTTTTTTCATTCATCCATGTTTCAAGTTGAAAATGAGAAGGCGCAAAGCATCCATCAGGGAGTCAGCGTAGAAGTGGGTGCACGAACATGTGTTGATACCGTGTGCGAGAGCTTGTCACGCCGAGGACTCGCTGACTTTGAGGCAAGTGGAGCATCCTCTCTTCATCATCTCTCTCACTCTCTTCCTTCACACTCGCCATGAGTGCTCGCTAATACGCGCCGTGCATATGCTGCCGCTCTCTCACTGCCTCTACTCGGGCTCTGCAGGGTGACTCAGATCTCACCCTTTTCCTCTCTCTCTTTCTCTCCTTTGACACTCTTTAGATCTCATCTGATGCCAAGGCTGAAGGAGTCTCGCTCCCATGAGTCATTGCTCAGCCCCAGTAGCGCTGTGGAAGCCCTGGACCTAAGTATGGAGGACGAGGTTGTCATCAAGCCTGTTCACAGCAGCATCCTCGGGCAGGACTACTGCTTTGAGGTGAGGAGGCACACATGCGCGCATACAGTACACAAACACCCACACAAATGCTCCAGAACATTCCCACTACTGGCCCTGCACAGCCATAGATCTGGTGTTGCTACTGTGTGGAGTTATTTCAGGCAATCCGTAAGTAAAAGTTCTGTTCATTTCCTGTATGTAATGTCATAAAATAGTGCAGAATTACCATTTCAATAATAAAAAGAAGTAACAGCTGGGAACAATCCGGATCCAGCTGCTCCTCTCACTTCACATCTCTATTGAAAGTCCTGTTCTTGATTAGCTGCTGATGGCCAATTATAACCAGAGGTTCAGATGCAGACTGCAGTTCTGTGTTGAAGAAACACAGGAGCGAGCGATAGTGGTTATATTTCTCTGGTTGTAGAAAATGGAATGGAAGCACAGCGGTAATTTGTTTCAGGCACGATCATCGCCGGACTGGAGTCATTTCCAACAAATTGCCAAATGTGCACAAACACGTACTTGCATACATGTAGCTGTAGCTAGTAGCTGTAGCTAGGGAGACTCGGGGTGACAGAAACGTACTGCTCAATCCTCCACTGTTTACCGTAGAGATCAAAAAACTCCACTAATCATTTTTTTATTATCCTGCTCATTACATCATTCTGTTTCTTTGTTTCTGCTCTCTCTGTTCTCTCTGTTCTCTCTCTCCCACTGTGCATTTTTGAATTATCCAGTCATCATCCAGCCTGCCGGGCAGCCATCTCTCGCTCTCATCTGTCCATTCTCACCGCTCAGTCATTCTTCCACACTGCCAAGTCATCCTCAGTCTCCTCATATCCTTGTGTTGCATTGTTTGCTAAGCTTCTTTGCTGTCGGACACAAAAGGGTACTTTAGAACTAAGTTTAGCAAAACATTCTGTTCGGCTCATTCCCTGTCATTGTTATGCACGGAGTTTGATGTTTAAAGCGTTTCGGTTTCCTTCTCCCTCTGTGTGGCGGCTGTAGGTCACCACCTCCACAGGAAGCAAATGTTTTTCGTGCCGTTCGTCAGCCGAGAGAGACAAATGGATGGAGAATCTGAGGAGAGCGGTACAACCCAACAAGGTAAACACGCAGTAGGTGGGACGAGACTGTGTGCAGCAATCGGCGCTTGTGTACAAGTGTCACAATTCCAAACCACAGTGTGCAACATTGATTATTATGAAGACAGCTGAGCTACATGGTGTTGACATTTATGTCGCAATTTCACACAAACAAAATGCAACCTGACGTGTTCACATCCGGCAGTGCACCGTCCCGCGCAGAGGATACAGAGGACACGGAGGTTGCGGCGAGGAGCGCCAAGAGCCCCAAAGTGCTTTTCTCTTGAGCATCGATGATGCCATCTGTAATCTCGAACACAAAAACGCAGCTGTGGCAGAGGCAGAGCGGCAAACACGTCCAAGCCAAGAAACTAGTCCCCCGTCTCACGGCGTCTTCATCGCTCCTTCATCTGTCATTGTTTAGAAAATGACTCGCTAATTAGAAGTTTGGATAAGAGAAAGTTCCTTTGTAACGTTGGAGTCCTCCCTCTCCTCAGCTTTCTTTGGCAGGGAGGTGTTATTTCTGTCTCGCTCCGTCTTTGCGCTGCGTTTTTTAATTATTCCATAATTTAGAGAGATTAGATGCGGCGCAATGTTTTTTTTGGCAAACATCAAAACTGGAGTGAGATACCGTAATTCTTTGGAACTACATAATGAAGTCTTTGGAGTTCTGTTAAATGGATCAACATGTTTTGCTCCTAGCGAACTTTAAATCTGTAATGATCTCCAATGACAGAGTACATTTTGGTCAACAGAGGACACAGACTCACAGGGCAGGACACACGCAAGGCTCCACCTGTTTGACTTTGTGGTTCACAGGTCGGTATTTGTTACCTCGCCCTGGAGTCTCTGTTTTCTGTCGCTGGTGCTTGGGAGGAGGAAGGCGATGATTATATTAGAAATATCAAATAACAAAGGGAATGAAAATATTTTCAGCGATTTTTCAATGCCTATTTGCCAGATATGTAATCAATGTAAATGAAACGAGGTAGTCTAAATGCTAAACCTGCACAATTCAGCTCGTGTGGAAGTTATAATTGTGGGTAATTATGATAATAGGCCATTTACAGAGGTATCATCTTTGAGGGCTGGATAAATACATTTCCGTGTGTCATAATGCAAAGTTTAATTTCTAATTAAAGGTATTGAGCACCTTGATTTAGAGGAGGGAGTTATGTTGCAACCAACAGGGGGAAATTTGGAAAATTGAAAACACAACTGACAACGCGTTATTAATACTGATTACATCGCCTCGACATTTTGCTCCCACTTGATGCAGATACTAAGTGAACCACACACACACACACACCATTAAAGATAAAATTACATTTCAGAGTTCAGAAACACCCGACAGTGTGATGAATGTAGAACCACAGAAATATATACACACACACAGAAGAATGATTTTATATTATGTTGTGACGTATAAAAGGCATCCAGACATTGTTGAGCTGTCTCCAGCACAGCTACCGGTATCTCAAACATTCAATGGCTTCCTTGTGATTGTGAGAGGCTCTGGTGTTTCTCTCTAATAATCGAATTATTTGCTCCTCGTTTCCTCTTGTCATCTTCAGAGGTAGTTGTCAAGGCAATCTGAATAAAAGGGCCAAAAATACACCCGACTCTTGGCAATATCAAATGATGACATAAGAATGGGTTAGCACTTTGTGGGATAATAATGTCGGAGTGAGGTGTCTTAGCTACCGCAAGCGCAGCAGAGAAAAGCTTTTCAATTGAAATGATTGAAGTACTTAATGAATTGTTTACGTCATTTAAAATGGAGAAACTTCAAAACCAGGGTTTGAGGCAGATTCTCGTTTAAATCTCATTTATTTGGAGACATTTCATTCATTTAGGTTGTTGGTTTACCAGATAAGTTTCCCACTGAAACTATCATTTTGAACTACTGTATATATATTTTATTCTTATAAAGTTTCCAGTGAGGATGTTGTTGACCTTTCTAAACCACGTCCCATCATCCTCTCCAGGACAACAGTCGCCGGGTGGAGAACCTGCTGCGGCTCTGGATCATCGAGGCCAAGGACCTGCCGGCCAAAAAGAAATACTTCTGCGAGCTTTGTCTGGATGACTCGCTCTACGCCCGCACCACCTGCAAACTCAAGACCGACAATGTCTTTTGGGGAGAGCACTTTGAGTTCAACAACCTGCCCGCTGTCAAAAGTGTCACGGCCCACCTCTACAAAGACACGGACAAGAAGAAGAAGAAAGATAAAAACAATTACATTGGACTCGTCAATATCCCCGTCGCGACGGTTACCGGACGACAGTTTATGGAGAAGTGGTATCCCGTCAGCACGCCCACCCCCCCGAAGGGCAAGCTGTCCGGGCCCATGATTAGGATCAAGGCACGCTATCAGAGTATGAACATCCTTCCCATGGAGATGTACAAGGAGTTTGCCGAGTACACCACCAACAACTACATGCTGCTTTGCTCGGTGCTCGAGCCCGGGATTAGCGTCAAGAACAAGGAGGAGATGGCGTGTGCGCTGGTCCACATTCTACAGAGCACCGGCAAGGCCAAGGTTAGTACCAACAGTAATGATGATTTATTTCCATTTCCCCCACGTTTGCACTCACCCCACGGAGACATAATGGATAACAAAACCAGAGTGTCAACCTATTATCTTGCCATGAGGTACTGACGAGACATTATGTAGCGCACAGAGGTTAACTATTCCTCCGCTGCCTGCTCTTCCTATGAACTGTCGACCCCCCCCCCACAGCTGTGATACAGAGCAGACAAAGACCAGACAGAGAGGTGATTTCCTCTCGCCGCACCAGCCTGTATTACATTTTTAACTCAAGCTAATCCCTTCCATGTATCCCCTGCAGTGCTTCACGGCATACCGATGCAGGACACAATATATCCGCCGCTGTCTGTAGCACTGCGAGCACGGGGGAGATTAGTCTACCACAGTGGGAGCTAAGTCTCCCATGACAGCAGGCCGTTGGACTCAGATAATCTCCCATCCATCCCGGAAATGTCTGTATTTCACTTTACTTTGACAGCACAGTGTTTTGTCTTTTGAGTGCAGTGAGACAAACGTCGGCATTTTCACCTACATAACATCAGAGAGCGAGACATGGGAGGGAAAGCCATCTCATTGGCTGCTGATGAAAAGAGGACGCAAAGGAGCTTAAAGTTGAATCAGCAGACAGTTAGTTGTTGAATATTTTGAAGTTTTGGTCCGTTGGCAAGACGTTTAAATGAATTGAGTTGTATTCTGAAAAGACACACAAGGCATTTATTTTGACAGTTTCCTTCTTTTCATAGACCAAACGATTAACTGATGAATTGAGAAAACTATTCGCCCATTAATAATGAAAGAGGTTTAATAATACTGATAAATCTAATTCCGTTCCAAGGCATTTCTAATGATTGTCAGGAAATAGGCATCTCGTTGGTCTTGTTCTGTCTGAAATAACTGTCTGCTTGTAGTGGAATGTTGCTTCGGGCTGCTTTCTTTACCGCAGCGTCGACGTCGCCGTCTTCACCGCCTCGTCAGTTCGCTCGCGCGCCTCAATTTAGTTTTCCTGACAGTGTCTCATCAGCAGAGCTTTGAATCTTTCTTTATCGCATCTCAGCGGAGTGATGAATGATCAGTGCTTAAGAAGCGATGTCCATCCACACTGTACCGCCAGTCTTCCAGTTTAGGGACTACTGAGAGCCGCTGATGGATGGGAGAGAAGGCCTCTGCTGGTCCCCGGAGAGACAGCCACATCCTTAATCATCTTCAATTAATTAATCCCCACGAACACTTTTACTTCTCTCTCACCTCCCGTTCCTTCTTTTTTGGCTGGTTTTCTGCTTGCTGGTGGATGAGCATCTTGTGAAACAGCACTAGAGATACTTCAAGGTTGCTCAACATTAAAGAGACTCTCACATACATACGTATGTACCCGCACTACTGTGGGTAGTCTGTGTTCACCAAATGCAAACAGGAAAACATTCCTTTTCATTTTTGTCTTTGCGGGGCTGTAAATACACGGGGGAAAAACAGCTGCTGTTGCCTTTTGAAGAACAGGCAAAACAGAAGCTTTCGGACTGACGTGAACAGGAAGAATTAATGAAAGCTGCTTCAAAATGTCAAGCATCAGTGCTGTTAGCGACAACTTCCTTTCTGAAAAGACTTTCATCGTTCAAGACGCGGTGAAGTGGTCTGACATTAGGCAGTACACATACACTCAAGTACATTTCCCTTCAGCCCTGATGGATAAAGCAGCCATGTCATGATGCCAAACGAGCACACAAAGACACCACTTATTCTAAAATATTGCTGAGGCCTAATTAGGACATCCTCTGCTGCGGCACGGATGCTTGATGTACACATATCTTGGCCCAATGTTGCGCTGTTTACTCCTTCACAATACAGCGGTTAAGTTCTATTTTTCATTTACTGTCAACTTGGGTGCGGTCTTTGCTGTCATTGGTGGGTTATATTTAGGAATCGAGCACATTCTCTTGAGCGAGGATAAACTCCTCTCAGCTGGGTTTTATTGTTTTCCTGCAAATGTTTAATAGAGCCTTTGGCTTATTCATCCCCCATTCTTATCATTGTGTCGTCTTCCAACTATTCAGACTCGAGTCAAATCCATGAGTCAGTATCTAATCCTGTCACCACCACACTGGATTTCTGTAGTTCGGACAGAATCGTTGCACTGTTGTCACATTAAGGCAGTGACAAAAGACCACGAGCACATTTTCTGTCACCCAGCAGAGGTGACCGTTTCTTTTTTTGGGAAATGCGGCTGTAACTTTGTAGTTCTGAAGTTCTGCCGATGTGCGTCGCATTTAATCGGCTGTGCACAGGTGGTAAAACGGCTTTTAATCGTAGCCGCCCATTGTTTGCGAGATGTAGATTGCAGGTTTGTAACATGCATTAGCATGCAACACCTTCTAGACTTCTGTTTCGTCCTGTGTCATTTTATCACCCATCACCGGGTAATTACCCCCCCCCGCCCAATGTTGTGCTCCGTTGCACACTCGCTCCTTCCCTCTTGTTCTCTCCCTACTTTCCGTCTTTGTCTTGCTTCATCTCTCTTTCATGCTTCATTGCATCTTGAGGCCAAGGCTCTCTGGAGGGATGTCATTGTGGACGCCGTATTGATGTCTGGATGCATTGCCGAGCATGACGAGCAGGCCCTGCGTCGCGGCACAGACGCTAACTTTATACGCACACACACCTACCTACGTATTAATCACAAAGACATTAGCAGGTGGTGGCAGGTCAGTTATTCAATTTTGTGCATGAGCAAATAGGCCTGCAGTTGTATTAAGATATATGTGGCTTTGTATAGCATAGGGAAAGGTCAGAGGTGTCCACCGTGGCTGTAGGTTGGAACACAAATGAATAGTCTGCTTTCTCTTTTAACAGATTTTTATTAAACCCAGCCACAATCAAAATGAGCCTGCGCTGTAACACCTGTTCGTCTCCTGCCCCGTGGGACATGTCCGCACACCCAAACAGCACTACCGGAAGCTCCCCGGTAACAATAACAGAACCCTCTGCTGTGTCGGAACTGCCTGGAGACGTTCACCTTTCTTTCATCGGAAGATATCTCCACTTCTGGCACGAATCCTCAGCGTTATTGATCTAGTCTTCTTGACGCCTCGCCCCCTTCGGGAAGATTATGTTCTAATTTTGTTGCCGCTCCTCTCGGCCGTGCCGACTGTTGGAAGCGACGATAAGGAGGATTTATGCTTATGATAACTGGCCGGACGAGGGTGGTGTCCTGGTTATTGTGCCATTGTTATTTTACTGCTCCTCAAGGTAAACTAACAGCCCCGCTTTTAAGAGGGCAACATATGTGAGTCTCTCCTCTCTACACCCTCTGTGGTGAATTGTCGTCAGCACAGTTACGTTCAGCACACTTCTTAATGCATTCAGCGCTGTCAACAGTGAAGTTGTCAGTATCATTTTTTTATTGAGACAATAACCTGTAAATATTTAGTTGCTTCTCCAATACATGCCAGTGGTGAACTCTCTTATGATGAACTAACATGGATGTCCTCTCAGTCTCCTCGACACTCTATTTTTATGAGATTCATCTGCCTTCGTGTAGTTTTAAATGACAAACATACATGTGCACAGCAAGGCATACAAATAAAATATTTGTATTGTTTCAAAGTGTCGATGTGTCTAAGAACAGCAGAGATGATGTCACTTTTGTCTCACCGTTTTCTGCCTGGTTTCACAATGTTGGCGCTTGTAAAAATATATATTTTTTAAATAAGATTTTAAGACTCAATATGAGACTAAATGTCATGTTATAGAGGGCAACATTTCTATTTAATAATCAAATGCATGTATGGGCTTCGTGGATTGCACTTAACACTTAATAGAAACACAAGATCGACAGCCATATACTGTAGAACACACGGAGAATATGCAGAGTAAGCCAGCAGACATGACGTTGGTATGCTGATGACACTGGCTATAAGACTCCCTCCAGTCTAACGCAGCTTCATAATGATCACGTGCACTTAGCAGCTAAATTGGGAGAGCTGCAGCCCTTCCTGTTTTTGTGTTGAATAACGAGCCTTCGGGAAGAACCTGCTTTCATTTCCATTCGGCCTCCAGTCCTCTCAGTCAACCCAATGTGACCCTCACAGGAAGAGCTGCAGGCTATGACTCCGTAATACTAGCCACCAGTCTCCAGGGAGGGAAACCAGGGGAGGCAGAAAGAGATGGAAAGATGAGGAGAGCGAAAGGATGGAGAGGCTGGAGTGGTTCCTGTTTTTCTCCCCCTGGGTCTTTCATCAGCCCTTTCCCCCAGGCTGGACAACTGAACCCATCGATCAGTCAAATTGCTTATGTTATTGGGTTTCTATTTCCTCCTCACATTCAACTCTTTTTTCCGAAATTATTCAACCCATTTCAAATTATCTAAAAAATTGTATTTGTGCCTTTTGGTGTATAAACACACTTACCTGAATAGCAGCTCTCGAAGCATCAACAGGTTATTTCCATTTTGTTTTTCTAATGAATCCCATTAGTTTCGCAAACCATGACTTCTCCATTAATGATGTTTGTTTATCCATTCACAAGATAGAAACAATACATGAACAAAGCATAAGCACGATGCCAAATGGAAATCTTTTACGCTCTATTTATGCTCCGTTCGACATCGTCGGGATTGAATACAGCCACAAAAAAAAAGCTTTTCTGTCATTAAGACACTCGTTCGACAGCAGGAAACCCTGAAAATAAGCAAGCGGTGCTATAGATACATTTAAATCACATGAGCTCGTCATCGTTTAGCCGTTTGCATTGATTCCCATTCACGTGATACAGCTGGGTAAAGTGAGCAGTGTGTGATATTTGAACTCTGGTGAGACGCTCGCATGCTCTTCAGGTTCAGACCGTTTTAAAGAGGCTGAATTAAGAAGACAATGTTCTGTAACTTAACCTCAGGCTTGTTCCTGCTCCAGTATTTTCCTTTTAAGGCCTTTTATTGCTCTCAATCTTGTATTACCATAGAAACACGTTTTTTTAAACATCTGAGCGCGTTCAAAGTGTAA